GTTGTGGGTTCGGACGCTCAATCCGGCCTCTCGTGAATCCTTGTTCCTGGCGACATCTCCAAGCGCTGTGGAACTACAGAAAAAGGACTCTGGCATCTTTGAAACATTGCAAACCCTGATGGACAGGTGCAAGAGGACCGGCACTTAGGTAGGGTACTCCGACAAACGCACCTTCCCAAGGGAGATCGGTGGCGTGGCTCAAAAGGGCCAAAGCCCCAAAGACCCAATAGTCCAGGAGGACCTTGGAACCTATAGACCAAGGTTTTCCTGGTGCACGTCCAACCACAGAAATTTTTCTTCCTTCTCCCATTCCTCAGACCCAGGTCTGGTTGGGGCTGCCTCCAAAGACCACCTGATTTGTTGCACTCAAAGACTGCCTGATTCGCAGCACTCAGGGTTCCTTTCATCCTCCAAAGACTGCCTGACTCGCAGCACTTGGGGTTTCTTTTGTCCTCCAGATTGCTCAGTTCACAGCACTCGCGGTTCCAAGTCATCCTCCGAAGACTGCCTGGTTTACAGCGCTCGGGGTTCCGATCGTCTTCCAAAGACTGACAGGTTCGCAGCACTCGGGGTTCCAAACGTCCTCCAAAGACTGCCTGGTTGGCAGCACTCAGGGTTCCATTCGTCCTCCAAGGACTGTCTGGTTCGTAGCACTTAGGGTCCCTTTTGCCCTCCAAAGACTGCCTGGTTGGCAGCACTCGGGGTTCCAATCGTCCTCCAAGGACTGCCTGGCTCGCAGCACTCAGGGTTTCTTTTGTCCTCCAGATTGCCCAGTTCACAGCACTTGGGGTTCCAGTGGTCATCCAAAGACTGCTTGGTTTGCAGCACTCCGGGTTCCTATCATCCTCCAAAGACTGAGGGATTCGCAGCACTTGGGGTTCCAGACGTCCTCCAAAGACTATCAGGTTCGCAACACTCAGGGTTCTGATCATCTTCCAAAGACTGCCTGGTTCGCAGCACTTGGGGTTCCTTTTGTCCTCCAAAGACTGCCTGGCTCGCAGTACTTGGGGTTCCAGTCGTCCTCCAAGGACTGCCTGGTTTGCAGCACTCGGGGTTTCTTTTGTCCTCCAAAGACTGCCTGGTTTTCAGCACTTGGGGTTTCTTTTGTCCTCCAGACTGCCTGGTTCACAGCACTCGGGGTTCCAGTCATCAAGACTGCCTGCTTTGCAGCGCTCGGGGTTCCCATCATCCTCCAAAGACTGACGGGTTCAGAGCACTCAGAGTTCCGATCGTCCTCCAAAGACTACCAGGTTCTCAGCACTCGAGGTTCTGATCGTCCTCCAGAGACTACCTTGATTGCAGTATTAGAAGGTACCCTTTGTCCTCCAAAAACTGCCTGATTCAAAGCATTCGGAGTCCCTGTCATATGTGTGATCCCCTTTGGCTTTGCTAGCCTGTTCTAAAAGAAATGGCTTCTCTAGAAGAGGCTGTCTACCACCTTAAGATTAATTCCAAAAGTAGTTCCAGTAACTTTGTGAGCTCTGAATTTGCGGCTAAAACTGAGGGTCAAAATAACCCTGAGAGACCAAAAATGTTCAGGGAAAGGAGGGGTAGACGTCCAGAACAAGGCTCTCCAGTGACTTACAGGAAGGCTGTCCAGGGTGTCCCGGGAGGATGGGGGCCCAAAGGAAAGGAGGAAGCTGCCAGTAAGGCAAAACCAAGCAGAGGAGAGAGTCTCAACCATGGAGAAAGGCCAGCCAGAAGGGTTACCATGTATACACCTAAGAAAAGGTCAGTGCCAGAGATGAGCAACTTCAATGAGAGGAAAGTAGTTATACATCCTTGCAAGAAATTCAGTGAGAAGCCATTTGGTGAAAGGAAGGTAACTGTCCGCCCTCCACCCTTAGAATTTCAGGATGACTCTAACCCCCAGTCAGTAATTCAAAAGGATACAGAAAGGAGAGTGATTGAGTACTCCAGTTCAAACAGTATGTGGTCTCACGTGGATGACTTCTCCATGGCCAGCTTCTCTCAGGAGGAGTCTATCTCACTGGGTCACTCAGTAGTTTCTGAGCCTTCCTACTACAGTCCTTGGTATGACTACACCAGCTTTTGGCGCAGTAGTGTCCAGCCTCCTGACTGTCTCTCCCTGAGCTGCAGCACTGACAATGAAACATTCCAGGCTGAGGGGAGCAGTCAGAGCTTTCTGAGTGATAATTCTACCCACTATACAGTAAATCACCAAAATAAGTCCAGAGAGCTGTTGGTAACAGAGGAAGGTAGATTCCAGAATTCCCATTCATTTCACTACTCCAGAAATTCAAAATCAGAGGCAAAGGAGAAAAGAACATATCAAGAGGAGACACTAAGAGGTCCCCGCGGAGGATGGGTATCTAGCTTCCAGCCAAGGAGCTACAGGCAGCCACACGTGGAGGAGGGCTTCATTGATACCCATTGTCACTTGGACATGCTCTTTTCTAAGTTGTCTTTCAAAGGGACCTTTACCAAGTTCAGAAGATTGTATTGCCGCTCCTTCCCAAAGGAATTTCATGGCTGCATCTCTGATTTCTGTAATCCTCGTACCCTAAGGGATGACCTATGGGAGAATCTGTTGAAAGAGAATCTGGTTTGGGGGGCCTTTGGCTGTCACCCTCATTTTGCACGTTACTACAATGAGCGTCAGGAAAGAGATATTTTGCGAGCCTTACGGCACCCCAGGGCTATAGCATTTGGGGAAATGGGCTTAGATTACTCTAACAAGTGCACCACGCCCATTCCAGAGCAGCATAAAGTATTTGAAAGACAACTGCAGCTGGCTGTGTCTCTAAAAATGCCCTTGGTGATCCACTGCCGAGAAGCTGACAAAGATCTGCTGGGCATCCTGAAAAAATATGTGCCCTACGACTATAAGATCCATAGGCACTGCTTCACTGACAGTTATTCAGTCATTGAGCCTTTGCTGAAGCACTTTCCCAACATGTCTGTGGGCTTCACAGCAGTCCTGACTTACGCTTCTGCCTGGAAGGTCCGAGAGACTGTGGCAAAGATGCCACTGGAAAGAATTATTGTGGAAACCGATGCTCCTTACTTCCTCCCTAGCCAGGTTCCCAAAAGCCTTTGCCAGTTTGCCCACCCAGGCCTGGCCCTGTATACAGTGCGAGAGATTGCCAAAATCAAAGATAAGCCAGTCTCCCACGTCCTGGCCACCTTGCGTGAGAATACCTATAGCCTCTACAATCTGTAAGCAGAGAGGCAGAGTCAGGAGTCTTCCCTAAAAAGGGAGACCAGCAACCTGACAAAACATAGATTTGACCTGAACTCCGCCTTCATCCCAGTATGTTTAGAGACTCCCATCAGAACAGAGAAAACCAGGGCAGGATGTTTTCCTCAAAACCTCTTCATAAGACTTCTGCTTCTGGCTGGTAGAGTAGGATGCAATGGGATGGAAGGAGAGCCAAAGGGAAGTACCTTTGATGTTGTTAAGGTTTTTCCTTTCAGCTAAAATAAGCTGTAGTCAGGAAGAGAGAGTTCAGTACAGTTCAATCAGTTTACCAATCCAGATCCCTGTTCTCTGCAGCCAACGGTTGTAAGCAATTAATGAACAAAGTTACCCTCTTTCTTGTGTTTAAAAATAATTTTTAAAAAGTAATACTGAATTTTAGAAGTGACCTAGGTGATTTTTTTTTCTGTTTGATCCCATGATGTATTTGTTATTTTAGGAAATCTATAATCCATATGGTTTGTTGTTAAATTCCATAAATTCAGAGACTGTTCAACTGGTAATTTCTCATTAAGATAAATTAGCTTTCATCTGAAAGGAAATGAAGTTAGAAGCTATCCCCCCAAGTTAATGTACACTTGAAATAGACACTGCTCTAACTGTGTCCCCCTCGAACCCACAGGGTCCCTGACCTTTTTATAAAGGATTGTAGGAAAGAGGGTTTCATGGGCATGTATTTGGCAAAGTGACATTACTGAATGAGCACTTCAAGAACTGATGTGAGTAAATGATTGCATTTATAACTACATGTTCAGCAAGATAAACAGGACATACACACGTTACAACAAAAGTGATTTTTTCAAAAAAAAAAAAAAAACCCTGTCTCCTTTTTGTATGGGAAATATACTTCTCTAAGCTGTTTCTTTCATTTTACATTTTTTATGGCACATACATGTGCTGTGCGGAGTTTCTAACATGCAGGAAAGAACCAGAGCATAATTTACCTTCATTTCTTTAAGAATGGGAGTGAGCAGCGTAGTTCTTTCTGAGTGAAGTGTATGAAGAGTAGCCTAAATCAGAAATCACGACCTTTGTTTACTTATTCCCTGAATGAGGTAAAGAACACTTCTACCTATTGACGTTACTATTAATAGTTGAAGAAGCTTGCATTCCACATGTGCAAAATTTAGAGCACTTGGTAAATAGTTTTATAATTAAGTAATAGGATATTCTGTTGAACCTTAAGGATTATTTAGCATTTATCTGTTTATATGGCACCTGCTGTTCTGCTGCCCTGTTCTGGAGGCATCTGAGACCTGTGAAGGCAGCCAGTGATCTAGAAATTCAATTTGCTGTTAGCGGTCCCTGGGCCATTAGTCAGTCTAGAATCACAGGGCCTCTAAGGCCCATTAACAGGGTCCCTGAACCTTAGCAGTCTTTTCAGGGCATGTCAATATTTCGCTTCACTTCAATTTTAGAAAGACAGCTATTTCTACCTTTAAAGCTTAAAAGGAACAAACTTTCCTCTCTGTCTTGGGAGATGGGATTTTTGTTTTCTTTTTTTCACTTGGTCTTCATTCATATCTAACTTCAAAATTCTTACTTGCTTATTGTTAAATTTCTGAGAAAACTAAAAAGGACAAAGAAAGGAAAATAATAGCCCATAATCCTACCACTTAGAGACAGTCACATTAACATTTGGAGTAGCTCTTTGGCAGTTTCTCTAATATTTCCATAGTTATCAGCCAATTCCAGCATTGTACTCCTTGAATCAGTTTTGCTATTTAATATTTACTACAGTATTCACTTAGTAATTAGCATAAGCTGTACATTTTGCTTCCTCTGAATTTGTGATTTAAATAATTTTGTGAATTTTTGTTTGTTTCCCTGAGCAAATGAGCTAAAAGTATGTTAATTCTGTTGTTTCTTTTAAAGAATTGAGTCTTAAATTGTCTTCTTCTTGTTCAGATGGATTCTATATAGTGATTTGTCAAGTCGTACCTTTTTATTTTTGAAGGCAAGAACAAAGCATTCAATACCATTAATTTGTCTATAATTATAGTTGCTGTGTATATAGAATTTTTGTTTTGAGAAAGTGTACTTTTCTCATTGTAAAAATTAATACATATCCATTACAAAAATATGAAAATAGAGAGAAACAAAAAGAAGTGCATGGCATTTCTCTTACCTAGAACCCAATGTTATTAGTGTCTTAACATACTTGTGACCATCCAGCTTTGTTAAATTGTGTATTCTTTTAAATAATTCATATGCTTTTCTGAGTATAGAAGTAATCCATGGCCATATTTACTGAAAATTTAGCATCACAAAATCTCACTGCCAACTAATATACAATGTTAATGTTCTTGTACGTTTTTAGTCTTCTTAGAAAACATAGGTAAGACCCAGCAGCAGTGGAGTGCACTACTAAGAAGCTATTCTCTGCAGGCTGTGACTACATGGGAGGCCCAAGTTTGATTCCTGGTTCAATCTAATGGCCAGGTGTGGTGTTGTGTCCCTGTAATCCTAACTAGAGGAGGCAGAGGCAGGAGGATCACAAGCTCAAGGCTGGCCTGGGCGACAGTGAGATCCTGTCTAAAAAGAGTCTTGTGTGGTGGTGGCCCCCTGTAGTCCCAGCTCAGTGGCTGAGGCAGTAACATCATGACATGGTGAGACCCTGTCTTAAAAAAATGTATTTTAATTAAAAAAATAGTTAAAAACACAAAGTTTATATACATATATATTTTAAGCAGAGTTAATGTTTACAGATACTAGAGCAAGATGATATAGGGACAAGCTTTTTTTCCCCCTTCTTACTGAGTATGATTTTAACTCTATTCATTGTCTTTTTTTTTTTTAAGAGATTTTTGCTATAGGGCGCATGTGCTTGTCAGAGAGACAGAGAGGCAGAGAGGCAGTGAGTGAGAAATCACCCCCCAGGGAGATGGCCATGCTGCATTCCCTTTGCCTCTTGGGATCTTAGGCATGCATGCACACGGGTCTGGCCTAAGTTTTAGGCCACAGGGTCCAGGACCCAAATTGCAGTCAAATATGTGGATGTCCAGCAATGTAACCATTACACCATCTGCAGGTCCCTATTCATTGTCATTTTTAATTAAAAAAAAAATCAGTTTAAGTACTAATTCCAAAAAAATATTTGCTACTGAAATACATCTAAATCAAATAACATGTTTTTCCTTTTTTGTATCCCTATCTTGCATTTCTGTATTGATTCATTTTATTATAAATTGTTCTGTAATTATTCAATAAATTAAAATGTTTATGGTATGTTTTGAGTTTTATTTACATTTTATAATTACCTATTAAACCTTTCCACTGCTCACCACTAATCCTTTTATTTCCTGACTTCCCCATGGTTGAACTGTTTGATTTACTTTCTTAATTGGCTGGAGTATACTTCCAAGTGACTTTCTCAGGAAAAGTATATAGGTGACATATTGAGGATAAATTATATAATTGACATCATTTTTTTCTGCTGCTTTCACTAGTGAATAGCTTTTTGACTGAGTCTAGAATTTCTGGGTCACAAACATTTTCCCCAGAAGTTATAGACATTGCTTCATTGCCTCCCGTTTAATATTGCAGAGAATTCTGGTGTCGACTTTTTCTACAGGATGCTTGGTAATTTCTTTGCTTTATCCTTGAAATTAATATAAAATTAACCCAACTATGTTAAATTATTAATCTTTTTTTCTCTTGTAGAGAGTAAAAATTTGATCTGCAGATCTTTCTTTTCTTTCTTCTTTTTTTTTAATTTTTTTTTTGGTAGGTCTGTCTTTCTATAATCCAGAAAGTTGACTTTGTTTTTATTGTTTTCTTAGCATTTGCTTCATTAACCAAATGATTGCTATTAATCTAGCCTATTTCATTTTCTCTGACCAGAGCATGCACACACCTGATAGCAAAAACCTTTTCTTTTTAAGAGATTTTTGCCATAGGGCACATGTGCTCATCAGAGAGATAGAGAGTGAGAAATCACCTCCTCAGGGGGGATGACCACACCATAGTCCCCTCTCTTCTGTTCTCGTCTCAGGATTTTAGGCATGCGTGCACGTGTGCCTGGCATGAGTTTCAAGTCACCAGGTCCAGGACTTGAACCACAGTAGACCACGTGGGACTCTGGCACCTTAACTACACCACCAGCTAGCCCCAGAAGTTTATTTTTCTTATGAGAGTGAGAAACAGAGAGAGAGACAAGCACCCTCAACAGCATCTCACTCCATGATCCCCTACCCTCTTCTCAGTCAGTCAGGATCTGGAGCATGCCTGACCTTCCATGTGGATTCAGCATCTCCAAGCAGTGTGTTACTGCTGTGCTACCAGGCTGACTCCCTAGCCTTTAATTCTGTAGTAATAATTGTGTGAAAGTTAGAGGTCCTTCCTCTGTCCAACCTTTCATTATCTCATTGCTCTTACATCTGACTTTTCTCTCAGCATTTTGGGAAATCTATTCAATATTACCTTTTCCACAACTCATCCCATTTTCTCAGCTTTAATTTTTTTCTTTTTCTTTCTTTTTTTTTTTTTTTTTTTTTTTTTTTTAAGGTTTTTGCTATTGGTCATGTGCATGCGCTGGCCGGAGAGAGGGAAAGTGAAAGTGAGTAATCACCCTTGGGGGATGGCCACAGTCCCTTCTCTTCCAGTCTCCCTCTCAGTATTTTGGGTGCACGCACACATGTGCCTGGCATGACGAATTTCAAGCCGCTGGGTCTATATCTCAGCCTGTTGTCGGCCATGTGGGCATCCCATACCTTAACTACCACGTCTCTTGCTGGCCTTGTAATGCATTGTTTAGTTTCCTCACATTTCTTCCTTTAGCAAGCTCCCTATGCATTTTTGTCTGTTCTCATTCAACGATATTTTTAATTTATTCTCTTATTCTATTTTCTTTTTCCAGCTCTCACTTCACAGAGTTTGCTTTCATGGCTTACTTTATACTATATACTTAAATTCAATAGGAAGCCCAAAGCATATTGTTATACTAATTTTTCTATAGAAAACATAATTTTCAAGTAAGTATTTTTCTTCCTTTGCCTCCTGAATGCTGTGTTCTTCATGTATGTTACAGAATCTTTTCATTGGGCTTCTTCGTTCATTTCTGAACAAAGGAAAATCTCTCCAGACTAGTGTTTTCCCAAAAATAGGCAGGTGAGTTCTTTTTCACTCCCTTCAACTCCTCTATCAACTATTGGGAGACTGACTAATAATAAATTCATATACAGTGTGTTAAGAGAGGTAGGGAGGGAGTTAGGGCCATTCCTAGTCCCCATCAGGGAAAAACTTAAAATTTTTCCACATAAGCGTTCTATACATTGACCTAACCTCCACTCCAAGAACAGAATGGCCAGATCTTTTGTGTGCCATTTCCTGTTGCCCTGAGGCAGAGCATGCTTTGACCTCAGTGTGACTAATTTCTGGTTCTCCTAGTGATATTCTTAAGCTGTCAATAGTTGTTAAAGTAGGCCCAGCCTAGGTGGCACAAGAGGTTAACATGCTGTTCTGCAGTGCTAAAACCCACGTGACCAACCATGGGTACAGATCTCAAGAGTCAACCTGAAATATTACAAGCATGGAGGCCCAAGATCCTGACTAGGTGGAGGGCTGGGGAAAGGGGATCATGGTATGACGACGCCCTGTCTGGAGGGTATATCTCTTCTCTCTCTTGACATATGTGCTCACTCTCTTACAAAAGAAGTAAATGGGGGAAAAAGTTGGTGGGTTGTTTTTTTTTGTTTGTTTGTTTTTGGCTTGTTTTGTTTTTCCAAAAAGAAAAAAATAGTTGAAGTAAACCAACTGGAAGCCCTTATAGATTGTCCTAATCCACAACCTAATTTTTGTCACTTTCTAGAAAGGGAAATTGCTAGTTTTTTTTGGTATATTTTTTCAATATGATCTCATCTGCACTGTATTCAAATGGAAATTCTACAAAATATGCAGCATAAAGATGAAACTTCTCCCTGGTGTCCAACACTAATATAGCTTCTCCGTATCTAAAATCTTGGCAGTCATTTCAATTGGGATTGTGAGGGTGGGTATCTATCTATAGACCCGTGGTCAAAGGCCAGTCCCATAGCACAGCAGTTAGGCTCTGGGAATAGGGAACTGGATCCCACATAACTGATCTGTGTTCAAATCCCAGCCGCAAAGGCTTGAAAAACACCATACGTGTTCTGATGGGCTGGAGAAACGGAGGTAAAAGGATTACATTACCCCGCCCCATAGTGGGGGTGCTTGCTTTCACATTTTCTCTCTTGCAACATACTCTCTGGAAATTAAACTGGTTAATGCTCGCTCCTCGCACCAGTAGTCACTAGAGAGCTGCAGCCAAGGCTCTGTGGTACCCCATGGCCGTGGGCCTCAACAAGGGCCACAAAGTGACCAAGAACGTGAGCAAGCCTAAGCACAGCCGCAGCCGCGGGCGCCTCACCAAGCACACCAAGTTCATGCGCGACATGATCCGGGAGCTGTGCGGCTTCATCCACTACCAGCGGCGTGCCATGGAGCTGCTCAAGGTGTCCAAGGACAAGCGTGCGCTCAAGTTCATCAAGAAGCGGGTGGGAGGGGAACCAGCAATTAGCGTAATGGCTATGTCGCTGGACTCCCACGTAGTCGACCGTGGTACGTGTCCCCGACCGGTGGCTTAAAACTCACGCCGGCGCGTGTGCGTGCGTGCCCAAGATCCCGAGAGGAGAATGGAGGAGAAGGGATTGCGGCGTGGCCATGCCCCCTGGGGGGTGATTTCTCGCTTTCTGTCTCTATGTCTCTCTCTCTCTGTCTGGCGAGCACTCGTGCCCTATAGCGAAAAGCTCTCCAAAAAAAAAAGAAGCGGGTGGACACGCACATCCGCACCAAGAGGAAGCACAAGGAGCTGAGCAACGTGCTGGCCGCCATGCGCAAAGCGGCCGCTAAGAAGGACTGACCCACCGCCCAATAAAGCCCACTCTGCCCCGGCAAAAAAAAAAAAAAAAAAAAAAAGGTTAATGCTCAAGTTATAATCTCACTCCAAATTCTCATTTTTTTCCCTCTCGCTTCTTCATCTTTTAATAAATTTATGTTCCTATGGATACTGTGTTTAAATCAGCATATCTTATTTTAAGAAAGCTTCGGTTTTGAATCTGAATCTCATTTAGCTTGTTGAACATAAGAGATTGTCAATAAAGGTAAGTTTGTTAAATGAATGACAAAAAAAAAAGACAAATTACAGAAGGAAGAGTGATAAAGCATTTTTGGTAATTAACAATACTGTTATCACAAATCTATTATAATGTACGTTCAAATTTTCATGACTAAGTCTATGCTTTAAGATTAAATCCACCTGTATTTGGCAACATAAGCTTTCATGAAATTTATTTTTACTTGTCTGCTTCTTAAGACATGATTTTATGATGCACAAAGGGAGAAAGGGATAGATGTGTCTAGAATGCTAGAAAATTCTTCTTGTAGCTTTATCATTTATTATGTAACTGGTATAAACCACTTAAATTCTTTGTTCCCTGGTTAACCTTTCAGCAGAAATTAGCAAATCAACACTTGCTAACCACAGGATACTGCAGCACTATTTAAACGATTAAGAAAATTATGTATATATAAATGGAGTTTGGGAGAGAAAATGAATGTATAAAAATACTGAATAATATACAAATCAGTGTAGGATACAAAACTGGAAGCTTAAAAATACTGTCAAAAACATATCTAAAATAGTCTTTTCACATTCTTGCAGGGTCTATTGAGTGAGGCAATCAAAAGCCCTTGGTATTACTAAGAGGTTCAGAGCCACTGTTTAAAATCACCCTATCCAACAGAAAAAAACGTGGCTAATCCCGGAATTTCAGTTATAGAAAAAAAGGGACAGCAGATGGTGTAATGGTTATGTCTCTGGACTCTCACATGGTTGACCAGGGTTTGAGCCCCGGATCCAGGGGCTTGAAACTCATGTCGGGTATGTGTGTATGCATGCCCAAAACCTGAGAGGAGACGGAGAAAGGATTGTGGTGTGGCCATACCCCCCTTGGGGGTGATTTCTTGCCTTCTGTCTCTCTGGTGAGTGCATGCACCCTATAGCAAAAATCTCTCCAAAAATAAAAAAAGAAGGCATTACCAAATACAGAAAATGAAAACTGACATATTCAAATGGCATATACAAAAGAAAAGGCAGAAAAAATAATGCATGGGTTTCAAAAATTTTCTGCACCAAAATAAACTTGTAATTAAATTCCATTTTTCCATAAACTTTTTGAAGCCCTTTTGTACATGTAGATATATAATTATAATTCTTTTCTAATATTTTTCCTTCAGCATATTTATGTATATATGTGTGTATACATATGCATGTGTGCACATGTGAGGAGGACTGCAAAAAGTTTGGAAATGTGAGGGAGAAATAAAAGTGTGGCAAATGGAATTAAAGCATAATTTTTAATGCAAAATAATTTTGGAAGCCACCCATAGCTTTTTTCATAATGCACATTTTCTGTGAACTTTTAAAAGACCCCTTATACATATAAAATCAGAGGACAGAGTATGATAATCAAGGCAAAAACACTCCCTCATCCATCATTTTAAGCTATTATTATGTATTTTTAAAAGGCTGGGTTCCACACACACAGAAGAAACATACTTGGATACAACACCCTTTATGTTCTCCTCCAATCTAAGGAATCTATTCTCTAATTCTAGTAATTACCCAGTAAACTGGACCACCCAGTATACTGAATTATCCTACTGATCTCAAAGTACAATATTTACTTTCCACTAAAATGGATGCTTTACATCCAGAGGCTCCTTTACTGAAAGTAATACAAACAAATCCAGTTATAGAATACCTACTAAATTCAAAATCCTATGTGGTAGATATTAACACTCAGTAAGATGATCTCTTCAGCTACAAGGATTGCATCTGGGAACTTCAAAAAGTTCATGGAAAATTAGAATTAAAAGTATAAGTTTATTGTGGTGCAAAAGAATTTTAAAATCTATGCATAGTTTTTCATAATACACATTTTCTACAACCATTTTGAAGACCTCTCATATAGTCAGGTAAGGAGGATAAGAGTTAGGGGAACCAAGAGGTGGCATAATGGCTATGTCGCTGGGCTCCCATGTAGTCAACAGTTCGAGTTGCGGACCCAGTGGTGGCTTAAACTCATGCCAGGCATGTGTGCGTGTGTGCCCAAGATCCCAAGAGGAGAATGGAGGAGAAGGGATTACGGCGTGGCCATCCTCCCTGGGGGGTGATTTCTAACCTTCTGTCTCTCTGTCTCTCTCTGTCCTATAGCAAAAAAAAACCAAACAAACAAAAAAAAAAACTCTCCTAAAAAAAGAAAATAGTTAGGACTGCAGATATCTGCAAAATAGGGTGTGGTACCTCTAAATAATGATAATGCATTGGAGATAAAGCTCGAAGCTATTAGGAAAGACTCGATTATGATTATTTTTGTTTTTGCTATAGGGCATGAGCTTCTACCAGGATGTGGGGAAGGAGGGAGAAAGCACCTCCCGTGGAGGGTGGCCATACCACAATTCTTTCTCTTCCATTTCCTTCTTGGGACTTCGGGCATGCACATGGATGTGTTTTTCTGAGCCACCAGGTCCAGGACTGAAACCATAGTTGCCCACATGGGGTCCAGCCACCTTAACCATCATGCCATGGACTGGCTCCTAATATTATTTTTAAATCCACGTGTGTGTGTGTGTGTGTGTGTCAATACATCTGAGTGCCTGCCACATGTCAGGCACTGTGCTAGGCTCTGAAAATCTAAACTTAAGGAAAAATAGCCAACACTAAGTACTTAGAATGGGTCAGGCAATGTTTTACATGCTTTTATACTTTCTCTCATTTATTCTTTACAACATACCTATAAAAGGCAAATAATACTGTGATCTTTGTTTATAGAAGTTGACATTTGGGAGAGTAAGTAATTCACCAAAGATCTCAAGTTAAGAGAATGAGATGCCTGGGAGTAGAACTCAATCTGCCCAGTCTTAGAGGCCACAAGGTTATCCACTATCCCCAGACCTGTCACAAAAATCCTCACCTAACTCCTGGTCAATGAAAGACAGATAAGAGTTATCAGGGCGGGACCAGTAGATGGCTTAATGTTTATGTCGCTGGACTCCCATATAGTCAACTGCAGTTCAAGTTCTGGACGTGGCCACTTAAAACTCACTCTGGGAGGGAACCAGCAGTTAGCGTAATGGCTATGTTGCTGGACTCCCACGTAGTTGACCGGGGTTCGCGTCCCGGACCCGGTGGCTTAAAACTCACGCCAGGCACGTGTGCGTGCGTGCCCAAGATCCCGAGAGGAGAATGGAGGAAAAGGGATTGTGGCGTGACCATCCCCCCGGGGGGGTGATTTCTCGCTTTCTGTCTCTATGTCTCTCTCTTCTATGTCTCTCTTTGTCTGTGTGGCGAGCACACGCGCCCTATAGTGAAAACCTCTCCAAAAAAAAAGAAAAAACTCATGCTGGGCGCGTGTGTGTGCGTCCCCAAGATTCTGAGAGAAGAATGGAGGAGAAGGGACTGCGACGTGGCCATCCACCCTGTGTATGTGTGTGAGGGGAGGGTCTCGCTTCATGTCTCTATGGCAAGCACACACACTCTATAGCCAAAAAAATAAAAATAAAAATAATTGGGATTTATGAGAGTGCTCCGAAAGGAGAGACTGGGTAGAACCATCTAAAATCATGAAGAAGGCATCTCAGTGACATCTGAAATGGGTCTTAAATCAGCCAAAAGAGGGAGGAAGTGGGCAAGTGAGGAGGGGTTATTCTCTGTACAGGAAGCAGCATATATGCAAAGTTACAGGAGGTCTGGCACATCTGGTATGTAGGCTATGCAACCCTTTCTTTGTGGCTGAGGGCTGAGTGGGGAGCAGAGGAGAGGAAATCAGAAAGGTGTAAGAACCAAAGATAGGTGATCCCTAGGTCATGCAAGGGAGGCCAAAGGACTCCAACCATTTTAGAAAGTTAATTCTGTAGCAGAGAGAGAAGTGGAGAAAGGGACTGGGAATGAAGGTAGGGATGCCACTTGGAAGAGGATTCTCTCTAGGTGAAAGATGATGAACTAGAATAGCCTTCCAGGAGAGACTGACAAAAGGAAGATTTCAGAGGGAGACCAGAGAGGATTTAGGTCAACAGCTTACTGGGGCGGGTGGGGGGGGGGAGGTGGAGTAATGGTGGTTCTCAATGCTTAAACATAAACAAAAATACATAATGCAGTGAATTAACATTAAATATAACTTGGGGCCGGCAGG